TTTAAAGCTCCAACTACATCTCCAATACAACCTACTATTTTAGGGATGTTGGCATCCATTAGAGATACATCAGGATAATTTTTTCAAGTATAGTGCAGCAGCATAATCTTTTGATAACTAAAATCCTAAGCTTTCCTAAATCCCTCCATGAGGCCCAATGATGTTAATGACACAAAGAAGGAAGCCGGCAGAATCCAGCAATAAGGTATTTTAATGCACTTTATTTCAATGTGTGTGATTTTTTTAAATTTTCATAATGTAGTTTTTTGTGAACTACGGGTGGGGTACTGTAGACAGGTGCCCTGCGGGCTTAGTGAGACAACCTCTATCATAAAAACATTTTGCAATTGTTTTTTTCCTTACAATGCATATTAGTTACACATTGTTACATAGACAGCATGGATGTAAATGGTGCTTTAGAGAAGTTCTCCTTTACATATATATGCTTTTATAATGCAGACATAAGTCAAATTCTAAACATTTGTTGGGACGCAAAGCATCTACATTGATGTGCTTCTTAACAGAAGAAATCCTCCAAAGCAAGTAAATATTTTTACACTGACTTGGCTGGATGACACATGCCCATGTATTTGTGCGTCTATAGTTGACACATACCATAACTCCCTGAAATTTCAGAAACATGAATGATGAATCATAGATTTTTCTTCCTGTAGCTCTTCATCCTTTTTAGCATCTTACACTGTAGATAATAAAGTCCCAAATCAAGAAGAAAGCTCAACTCGTGATGCAAAGGGTGTTTTCAAGTTTTTTTAAATGGACGATAAGCTGTTTTTTTGTGTAAGGGCTTGTTCACAGCACAATTTCTGCATTCCGGATGTGTTTCTGCATGGGCATTTTTGACACATTCAGGTTCGTTTTTGATGCATTCCCCCCCACCACCTTTTTTTGCTTCATCACAATTCAGTACAGTATCAGTGTGTTTTGGTGCATTTTTTATGCATTACAGTTAATTTTGTAAGCATTTTGTAAGCATTTTGCGGCTTCCCAGATGCATTCCATACAGAAAATATGCAACTTTTGTTGATTGGGCTGGAACACACTGCACTGGTGTGAACAAGGGCCACTGGAATACATGGAGAATATATGTATGTGCATACAATTTTTATATACTCTGCTCCTTTGTGCAAGGAGGGACAGGATGAGTACTGCCAGAGCCCTACAAAATGACCTCCAGCAGGCCACTGGTGTGAATGTCTCTGACCAAGCAATCAGAAACTGACTTCATGAGGGTGGCCTGAGGGCCCAACATCCTTTAGTGGGCCCTGTGCTCACTGCCCGCCACCATAAAGCTCGATTGGCATTTGCCATTGAACACCAGAATTGGCAGGTCCGCCACTGGTGCCCTGTGCTTTTCACAGATGAGAGCAGCTTGATCCTGAGCACATGTGACAGATGTGAGAGGGTCTGGAGAAGCCACAGAGAACGTTATGCTGCCTGTAATATTGTTCAGCATGACCATTTTGGTGGTGGGTCAGTGATGCTCTGAGGAGGTATATCCATGGAGGGACGCACAGACCTCTACAGGCTAGACAATGGCAGCCTGGATGCCTTTAGGTATTGGGATAAAATCCTTGGACTCATTGTCAGACTCTACGCTGGTGCAGTGGGTCCTGGGTTCCTCCTGGTGCATGACAATGCGGCAAGAGTGTACAGGCAATTCCTGGAGGATGAAGGAATTGATACCATTGAATGGCCCCCACGCTTGCCTGACCTAAATCCAACAGAACACCTCTGGGATATCATGTTTCAGTCCATCCAACGCTGCCACGTTGCACCTCAGACTGTCCAGGAGCTCATTGATACTCTGGTCCAGATCTGAGAGGAAATACCCCAGGACACCACCCGTCGTCTCATTAGGAGCATGCCCCGACATTGTCAGGCATGCATACAAGCACGTGGGGACCATGCAAACTACTGAGTACCATTTGAGCTGCTGCAATGAAATTTCAGCAAAATGGACAAGCCTGCCGCATCATTCTTTCACTCTGATTTTCGAGGTGTCTTTGAATTCAGTCCTCTGTAGGTTGATAATTTTAATTTCCATCAAATGATGGGGCATCCTTATGTGCCTAACATATTACCCAGTCCATATCAGTATAGATATCCAGCATTTTATTTTTCCACATTGAGATCTGATGTGGTTTCCAAGTGTTCCTTTAATTTTTTTGAGCAGTGTCGATTAAAAATTATTTGGACTGCATCTGCATACTTCTCATTCATGGACAATTGATTATTTGTTCCAATACTGGCTCCACAAACATTTGAATAAGATGTATTTTCAAACCTGTAATCTTTAAATGGGATCAAATATGTTCAAAGCATCTGTACTTATACACCTTTATAATAAAGTGAAATGACTATAGTGAACCACTACATACTGAAAAAATCCACCTAAAGTGTTACTAAGCCCACAACTGTAAAATCAGTCTGTATATGCAGTAAAGCATGCTTGTGATACTCACTGTGGAACCTAAGGGGTTAATCCTCTGCATTGTCCAGACAGAGGGTCAGAGGTCCTGCATCCTCATGAGAAAAGGTATTTAGTAGTTTATATTTACTAAACTAATTGCATTTCCATGTGTACTGTGGGAGACCAGATCAAATGAATGCAGAGTCCTGGGTTTGGCAACACTTTAAAACAGTGGTTCTTAACCTGGGTTCGATCGAACCCCAGGGGTTCGGTGAGTCAGTCTCGGGGGTTCGGCGGAGGAGACCCACACCCGACTCATATGATTTGTGATGACATGCCCCGCTTGTCCATCATTGGCTGCAGGTGGTCACGCAACATCGCTTAGCCCAGTGGTCGGCAAGCCGCGGCTCTTGTGTGCCGGGCGCCCGCTCCCCTCCCTCCTCTCGGGCGGCAGGGACTCAAATGCAATGATTGGCCAGTCTCGCTGCCACTCACATCCTGATAGCCAGTGATTGGCTGTCAGGATGTGTGTAGGCGGGGCAGCGTGACGAACGTGAGAGGAGCTAGGCTCCTCTCACAGTCCGCCCTGAAGACCGGAATGGCGCGGGAATACAGCGAGAGGAACGCGCGGAGCAAAGGTAAGTGAATTGACACAGGGGGGACTTGGGGACTTAATATGGGGGATGAATTACTATAGGTGGAATGAATTACTATATGGGGGATGAATTACTATATGGGGGATGAATTACTATATGGGGGATGTATTACTATGGGGGATGAATTACTATATGGGGGATGAATTACTATATGGGGGATGAATTACTATATGGGGGATGTATTACTATATGGGGGATGTATTACTATGGGGGATGAATTACTATATGGAGGATGAATTACTATGGGGGATGAATTACTATATGGGGAAGGAATTACTATAGGGGGGATGAATTACTATATGGGGGGATGAATTACTATATGGGGGGATGAATTACTATATGGGGGATGAATTACTATGAGGGATGAATTACTATGGGGGATGAATTACTATATGGGGGATGAATTACTATATGGGGGATGAATTACTATGGGGGATGAATTTTCATACCGTTTGTTACAACATATCTTTGCGAGCAATCCTTTTCGAGGATGCTGGACATAAAGACGAAGAAAAGGAACAGACTTTGTTGCGAAAATGACATGAGAGTGGCACTTGCCAAGGTAATGCCGCGCATTTCTGAACTGGCCTCTGAAAGACAACAGCAGAAGTCACACTGATTTGCGGTAAATATTAATTATTTTGTTTTTGTGTGAAAATCATGTTTTAATGGTTTTGTTCTTTGTTCTTAATGGTTTTGTTCATTTTGTGCACCTATGTATAAATATATACCTATGTTTTGAATTTTAAAAATCATATTTTATTTTTCCAATTAAGAAGGGTTCGGTGAATGCGCATATGAAACTGGTGGGGTTCAGTACCTCCAAAAAGGTTAAGAACCACTGCTTTAAAGGGTTTAAACGTCTGTCAGTTTATTTTTTTTTACTGTGTGTTTCACTGAGATTTCCTTTTACTTCCCGGCCAACAGATGCATTAGGACGTGAGAGAAAATCTCTAAAAAAGTTCCCCTCTTAGATGGTTTTTACCAAAGCAGGTGTCCTATTAAAAGATTCTCTCTATTCCTGTTCTGGTGACAACTGTAAAATTTGGGATTTTCCATTACTTTATGTCCATATAATGACCATATAATAATGGTCATCAGGACAGACAGAGGGGGTAAATCTAACTAGTGAGGACACTGGCTGCAACAGAAACTTGACAGGGGACCTTATTCTTCTCTACACTATCTGAAACTAAATAAAAATGTTTTGGCCTACATATTTTTACACACACTTTAATAATTCTGTAGAGTCCATTAATCATTGATGAGCCTATGAAAGAGGTCCAGCACCTATACATAATACATCAACACACAGATGGCTCACAAGCTGAAAAGGCCCCTTTCATACAGTGTTTGATTTACACAATTTTTGTAACTGGGGAATTACTTTCTTCATAAATCTCCTCACCTCTTAATATACATGTTACAATAGGTGAATGAAGACAGGAGCAAATAACAAATAAAATAATTTCTATTATTAGAAATGTGCCACAAATACATAGTTTCCATTAGTGTAGACTTCAAGGCAAAATGATTAATAGATCCCAAAAACGGCATTACAGTTATGCAACTCATCTGATGTTGAAAAGACCAATAATTGTTACACTGCCTTTAGACACCAGGGACATTATGCTTCTTGATACTGCATGAATTACTTCTGTGAAAGAAAAGACAACCATTCCTTTACTTGAAACACAGTGATCATTCCCATTGTATGTTAAGCCTGAGTGCTATCATGGATACTTTTTGAATTACTTCCATTTGAAACCAATTCACGTTTAACCGCCTCCCGTCCGCCATATAGAAATATGACGGACACAAGGTGGTTCTCTCATTCTGGGAGGACGTCATATAATGTCATCCCCTTCTAACCGCGCATGTGGGGCTCCCGGAGCACACAACGCGGCGATCGGTGGTGCACTGTGTCCCTCAGACACAACAGATCACCGATCCATGGAAAGAGCCGAAGATGTCAGCTCGGTCATGTAATCAGCTGTGTCCAATCACAGCTGATCACATGTAAACAGGGAAATGCCGGTTATCGACATTTCTCTCCCCACGAGCTATCACGCTGACAGCTCGGGAGGAGAGGAGAGCCGGGAATCGGCATTCCTTGGAGGGAACATGTACACAGATCATCAGAGCACTGATGATCAGTGTGCCCTGATGATCTGTGTAGCCCCAGCAGTGCCACCTGTCAGTGTCCATCAGTGCCAGCTCTCAGTGCTTATCCATGCCACCTGCCAGTGCCCATCAGTGCCACATATCAGTGCCCATCTGAGCTCCCTTTCAGTGCCACCTATCAATGCCAGTCAGTGTCACCTATCAGTGCTGCCAATCAGTGCCGCATATCAGTGCCACCTATCAGTGTGCATCAGTGCCACCTATCAGTGCCTGTCAGTGCTGCCTATCAGTGCCACCTAACAGTGCCACCTAACAGTGTCAATCAGTGCCATATATGAGTGCTGCCTTTCAGTGCCCATCAGTGATGCCTGTCAATGCCCATCAGTGCCACCTACCAGTGCCTCCTCATTAGTGCCCATCAGTGCCACCTATCAGTGTCCATCAGTGCAGCCTATCAGCGCCCATAAGTGCAGCCTTATTAGCGCACATCAGTGAAGGAGAAAAATCACTTATTTACAACATTTTATAACAAAACTAAGAAAAAACGTTTTTGTTTTTTTTTTTAATTTTTCAGTGGCTTTTAGTTTGTTTAAGAAGAAATAAAAAACCCAGAGGTGATTAAATACCACCAAAATAAAGCTCTGTCACAAAAAAATTATAAAAAAATTTCATATGGGTACAGTGTTGCAAGACTGTGCAATTGTCATTCAAAGTGCAACAGCACTGAAAGCTGGAAACTGGCCTGGGTAGGAAGGGGGTATAAGTGCCCGGTAGGCTAGTGGTTAAACAACCATTGCATATATTGGATCAGGAGTCAAAGACTGTTGCTCACATTTCAATTATTTCTGCACTGTTATATTTTTTTACCTATTAATTGTGCATTACATTCAGCTATCATTTGTGTATATAATTTTCTTTATTTTATTTGAATAAGGTGTTTGTAAGCTGTATGTGTGGGGTCCACATTGCACGTCATTGCATATACCCGATATACAGTGGGTAAAATAAGTATTGAACATGTCACCATTTTTCTCAGTAAATATACTGTATTTCTAGAGGTGCTATTGAAATTTTCACCATGTCAGTAACAACTAATGCAATCCATACATACAAAGAAACCAAAACAAATAAGTTCAGAAATTAAGTTATGTGTAATAAAATGGAATAAAACGTATTGAACACGCTAACTATATTTAATACTGCATGCAAAATCCTTTGTTGGTAATGACAGATTCAAGATGCCTCCTGTATGGAGAAACTAGTCACATGCATTGCTCAGGTGTGATTTTGGCCCTTTCTTCCACACAGTCTTAAAATCTTGAAGGTTCTGTGGGCCTCTTCTATGAACTCTGATCTTTATTTCTTTCCATAGATTTTCTTTTGGATTCAAGTCAAGTGATTGGCTGGGCTAGTCTAGCAGTTTTATTTTCTTTCTTTGAAACCAATTGAGTTTCCTTGCTTTGTGTTTGGGATCATTGTCTGGCTGAAATGTCCACCATTGTTTCACCTTCATCATCCTGGTAGATGGCAGCATACTTTTATCAAGAATATCTTGGTACATTTTTCCATTCATCCTTCCTTTCCTTCCTTCAATGATATGATGTTTGCCAGTACTGTAAGCTGAAGAACAGCCCCACACCATGAAGTTCCCACCTCCAAACTTAACTGTTGGTATGGTGTTTTTGGGGTAATATGCTGTGCCATTTGACCTCCAAACATGGTGTGTATTATGGCATCCAAAGAGTTCAATATTGGTCTAATCTGACCACAGGTTTGTCTAAATGTTGTGCAGCGAACTTTAAAGGAGCTTCAACATGCTTTTTCTTCAGCAATGCAGTCTTGTGTGGTGAGCATGCGTACGGGCCATGGCACTTGAGTGCATTACCTATTGTTTTCTTTGACACAATTGTAACTGCTAATTCCAGGTCTTCTTCCAGGTCTTGGTCAGGACCAATCAGCAGGACCATTTAATCACTGAAGGAATTTACGTATTTGGGCACATATCCAGCTGTCTATTTGTTTTTCATCTCCACGTTCATCTCCTGTCTAACAGTTTGACAACATTTAAAAACATTTTTTAAATCTTAATAGAAACTTTAAAAACTCAAAATATTATAAAGCAATTTTCTTAGAAATTTAGGGCTGGTAAAAACTATTGCAGACAGCTTTTCTATAGAAGCAGCTCTCCACATGGGCACACAGGAAACAGTGGTTTTCTGTGTACCGTTAGCACTTCCATGTGGCTGTCAGCTGGAGGCAGAGTGGTGAAAAAAATGCACACATGTTGCATTTTTCCGCACTGCTACACAGATGAACTCAAAATGTCAAAATGCACTGAGAACACCTGCAGCAGGATGTAAATAAGTACATTAGGTACTTTGCAGGAATTTGTAATGTGACATCTCCCCGGGAAGAGACTGTTGTCCACACACAGTTGGGCAGGACTTTGTCCGATGTTTATGGATCATAGCACATGCCTGGATGGTCACTGATGTAGCCCCACTCAGCTGTGTTGACATTTGGTTCCCTCCCGGCAGCTGTCACGTTACATATTCCCACAATAAAACCAAATGTCAGTTTGCACATCAGGATATGTAGCAGCGTGGTCTGGAACAGCAAACTGGGAAAGGTTTACAAAAGTTAACTACTGTATTTTACTTTTGTCCATGTTTTATTTCAATAAAGGACTTTATTGCAGTGTCAGTGTCTTTTTTACTTATTGCTGTCATTTTTTGTTAATGATTAAATAGGGGTGTTATGTGCCCCTTACTCATTCACGTGGGGGGGGGGGGGCAGTTTCTGTTGTTAAGGAGGCTTACAGATTCCAATAAGCCTATACGTGAAGGTAAAAAATGTTCTGTGTGCAGCAGCCCCCTCAGCCCCCCAATACTTACCTGAGCCAGCAATGTACACGGGATCCTCAGCTCTCCGAGATCCTCAGCCCTCCTTTTTGGATGAGACAGTAGCAGGAGCCATTGAGGAGAGAGAGGGGCTGGGCGGAGTGGCAGCTATGTGTATGAATGGACATGCAAAGTAGCGGCTCAGGAGCGAGCCTGCTTGGGTGCCTCCTTAGCAAACTGCTTGCTATAGGCGGCACTAGGCAAGATGAAGGGGCCAGGAGCGCCGGCAGGGGACTGGAGAAGAGGAGGATCTGGGCTTCTCTGTGCAAAACCACTGCATTATGCGGTGGTCACTGCAGCATATAAGTATGACATGTTTGGGGTTTTTTAATTGTCTTAAATATCACTTTAAAAACCTTACCAGACCTTAAGGGTCTCATATGGCTTTTTGGGGGTAACTCACACATTTATTAATTTTTTTTGGGAGGGGGTTCCCTTAAAAGCTAGACCAGACCTGAATGGTAATTTTTTTATATACCTGACTTTTACTGTTCTTTTTTCATGAATTACACGTTTTATTTCATTACCCCTGGTTCACATCTGTGCGGGTGCTGACGCTGCGGACCCGCGCAAATACCAGCCACACCACCCACACAGAGGAATGCGGGACCCGCAGGTGGGTGCCATTAACTTTAATGTGCCAGCTGCCCGCACTGGAAATCGCAACCGTGCTGATAACCTTGGTTCACGTGCGGGCTGCGATTTCCAAAGTAGTGCACGAACTTCTTCCATGCATATTTCAGGGCACGGGAATACATTCAAATGGGCTCTCATGTCTGCGCAGATGTGAACCAGGGCTTACAGGTTGTCTCACATCAGTAAAGACAGCAAAAATTATAAAACAAACAATCACAAACCATTCTGTGGGGGGTCCAAAGAGCACTTATAGCTTAGGCAGAAACAGCACAGGGGAGGATCCCCAGACCAGCTGTGACTCATAGAATTGAATAACAACTTACAGAAGTTAGCAAAGCTAAAGGTCTTATTTTCATATAGTATAAGAAGGTTATAGACTAAGCAAGAAGAACTACAAGTAAAGAAAGGAAGAGAAAAACCGTCAAAAGAAAAAAAGGGGGAGAGGGAAATGAGAGAGGGGAACAAAAGAAAAATGGGAGGGGTGAATTGGAAGGGTGATGGTCTTGGGTGGGTGAGGGGAGTGCGATGTTGTAGCAACACTCACTAAGTTACATACTAGCAGGAATTAGTGCCTACTGTGAAGAGATTTAGGTTTGAGATGTGAGAACTGTATTACTATGTAAACTGGAAATCAATAAAGTCACGTTCTGCAAAATGGTTTGTCTTTACATTTCAAGGTGTTCAGGTGTTCCCCGTCATTTATCTTGTTCACCACTGATATCAATTGCCCATCCATCAGAGACGATCAGTACTTCTCTATTTTTGTGGTATACATACCCTAGTGACACTAAGAAGGTGGATCAGAAGGGATTTCTTATATCTGCATTTCGAGAGCGGGGTAAGCCGGGTATATGTAGCCAGGTTCTGTTCTCCCACTGACATTGCCAACATAATGGTAAGCAGGGCCATGGATAAGGGGTTACCACCAGTACTCCTGTACGGGGCCCAGGCCAGCAGGGGGGCCAGGCAGCTGGGTGATCGGCACGGCTGGAGGGGCAATTGCTGGAACCGATCCCCTGTATGGCTCTCTGCAGCAGCTGAAAGCTGGCTTCTTTTCCTCTCTCTCCTGCTGACTTTTGACTGCTGCAGAGAGTGCCATACAGGGGATCAGGGGGAATTGCACCCCCCCACACCTCACCAATCACCCTCCCTGTGCACCATACCTTTCCCTCTAGTGCCCAGGGCCCCTGTGTGCCCCCACCCCCCAGTGCTGTTGGCTTCCCTCCTCCTCCTTCTCATTGACAACTGAAAGCACACAATAAGATCCTTCAGGATGGAGAGTGGGGGAAGGGTCCGGTAAATATGTCACATTTACCAGCCTCTTCCTTTCCTGAATGAACACAATGCGTGATTGGTACTGATCGCTCACTGTGTTCATTCATAACTGAAGCATCGTGAACTGTGTTTATTTGAGGGGGGCCCTGTTAGGTTGGGTGTATGGGGCCCCGTGGTTTCTAACAACAGCCCTGATGGTAAGCTTCTATGCAAGAGAGTAGGCACCCATGTTAAGAGCTTATAACATGCCTCTTGGTATCTACTTGAGATGGGAGACCAGCAGGCAAAATAAAAAACACAGTCCCTCTGTTCTGACTTAATAAAAAACAAACAGCACAAGCACCTCTAATAAAGGATCAATACCCAATAAAGGCAGAAATACCCCAAAAAATCAATGCATCATAATGAACTGAATTCCAAGAAAGTCCATATGTATTTCTTGATTATAAAAACTTGGCTAATCATAAACATTGTTGTGTAGCTGAACCCCTGGTATCTTTGGCTTGAGTTGGCAGCACAACCCAGCCCGGAAGCCTCTTTGGATAAAGGAGTGCCATATTTGTCTGGACATTCATTTATTTGTTTGGGCAGTTCTCTTGATGG